ATAATGATAATTATAATAATAATAACAGTTCATTTATATAGCGCACACATCCATTATTTGCCCAAGGTGCTTAACAAAACTATCCCTAAAAACTATAATTTTAGTCAAAGAAACTTAACACTAAAAACTAGCAAAATACCTAAAAGAACTAGAATCTAAACAAAAAAAATTAAAAATATGATCAAGAGTTACTCTATAAATTCAGTAAAAAGGAAGGTTCTTAAATAATAAAACTGTACTGGATCATCGTATTTCCAAAGAAACAGTGTTCCAAATCTTCAGAGGGCATACAGAAAAAGCTCTGTCACCATATGTTTTGGTTTTACAAGTTGGCTGCATTAGCAGTCTTCAAAGTGCGAGTGAAGAGACCTAGTTGATTTCCGATGTTCCAGGAGTTCTGTTAGATATTGTGGGCAGAGACCATTCAATGATTTGTAGTCAAAAGGAAGATGCTTAAACATGATCTAATATGAGACAGGCAACTAATGAAGCTGTACTAAGGCAGGAGTAATATGGTCATATTTCCTTGCACCAGTCACATAACAAGCAGTAATGTTCTGGATTTGTTGCAACTTCTTCACTTTATACTTTGGTAGTCCAAAGAAAAGATGATTGCAATAGTCCAACAGTCCTTGCAGTTGAGTTGACCATCACTTAATATTGAAACCGAGGGCGAGTACCGGTGGTGTAAATTGCAGTAGTGCTGACTCTTGACCGACTGTTGAGCATGTGTCACTCAAGATGTCAATCAAGTGTCGATCAAGTGTCAAGCGAGTATCAATTGGGATGTCAATCGAGTGTTGACAGAGATGTCAATCACCGGTCGATCAAGGGTATTGATCGACACTCAACCATGGACACACATGATCCTGTTTCTTTCCCACCTATTCTCTGGTTGCCCTTGTACTTCATCAAAACTCAATGAAACACATGTATATCATATTAAAAATCGTGTAAAATTAAATTAATATGTATATAAATATACTTTGTGGAAATGGTGCATTTAAATTACATTTATTTTAATTTGCTTCATTAGAAACTTCCCACGCCTCCAAGCACATATAACACCCTGGATCAAGTTAAAAAGGATCATCCAGAAGTGCTCTTCTACAAGATCCCAAGAGAACCTGGGAGTGAACTATTTTACTTCAAATCCTACCTGACAGATAAGCAAAGGATTCTGGGATTTGACCAGCATGGCAATCCACTGAACACCGCTCAGGTCCAACCAGATCAGCTGGAAAGTCAGTTTAGTATGATTTAATACTCGACTGACTGTGATTGTTAAAACCACGCGGACTCTGGAAGTGTCATTTTTGACATTTTCTGCTGCCATCACTATGCCAGAAACAAATGTTTGGTTCAATTTGTTGAAAAAGTTATGCCTGTAGATTGTGATTGGTAAATGTAGATGTTGAGCCATTTTGTATTGTTTTTGTTTTTCATTTTTTTTCCCAAGGTTCATTAATTGTTGTTGCGATTAAGATTGGTGACCATAAGAAATGAAACCATTAGTTGGGTTTTGAGCTTTAGAGTTCTTGTGGTTTTTGAAAATTAACAGTTTTTCTAAAGAAAGTGGCTAAGGGAATTGAACATGTAACTGCTTATCATCTCAGACTCTCTCATTTCTGAAATATACAGAGATGAAGTAAAATAGTTATGACATAAATAGAAAACAAAGGACTTGACCATGAAAACGTTATTCATTTTTTGGGGGGCAACTTTCTTTTAATTTTTATAACAATTAATAATTATAGCGACTCTCAATCTGGTCATTTGCAATCTGAATGCACATAATGCATAGACTAATAATGAGGTAATAATTAAGAATAAACTTGAAGGAAAAGTGAAACTTCAGCTTTTTAAAAATGCCAAGCATGGTTGTACTAGTTGCAAAAACTAATATTAGCCATAACTGATTTTGCACCAAGTTATTTGACCTGAAATGTACAACAGGGCACATGGCACACCTTTTCTAAGTTATGAGCTGTCTATTAGAGAACTCTGCAAAATAATGCAAAACAAACAAAAACTTAAGATTAATCTAGACAGAAAGTTGGAACCATTCTTTATAAAGTTGCACATAAGAAATTGGTTACAAAAGAACTGTCTGAAGGAGGACTATTGAAATGCTCTCCTAGTGAATCTGTATAATTTACATGTTCAGTTTCCCTTAGAACTTGCATTTGGTCAAACAGTTATCTAATGACATGCAGAAAATGTTTCTGTTTTGTTTTGTTTTTTCTAGAAGAAAAGGATAAGTTACGTAAATTACAATTAACGTGAAATTACTTAATCCATTGCTGATGAATTTCAAGATTTGATGTTTGTCATTAAATGCAATTGAAGTCGCAAATATTTTCTAGCAAATGAGGTAAATTCCATTTGAGGAAAGAAATGTGCTTCATTGAGTACTTTTCACTTGAGTTCAGGTTATAATGGAAATACAATTTTTTCCTATGGAAAAAATCTTTCTATGATTATAATAGAAAGATTTTTTTAAGACAAAATTATCAAAATAATAATTATAAAAAGAGTATCAGTATTCAAAAGAATATTTTGTAGATGACTTGATATAAAATTGCACACTGTTAGATAGTGAATTATTTTTACAGTAACTGTACTAATGTACATCAAAATGTTTTGTAAACGTAAATCTTGTTAATTAATAATTTATTACATGCAATTTATTTTTATACCATTTTTGAGATAAAAATAGGTATTGAAAGAAATGACAAATATGTATCAAGTTTGAGGTACTGTTATGTATTTTTTTATTGTTGATATTTTCAACTTTACAGTTTAGTTTCTTATAATAAATTTGGTCATTTAATATATGGCTGTCAATATGGTTCTCATTTCCTAAATGCAACAAGTTAACTGTGGAGCCCTGCCTTTCAGTTAATTACCTCATAAATACAGTCACCTCGTAATTACAGTGACATTTTTGTCCCAGCAACATGGATTTTTTTTCAGTGGCCACAAGCTGAAATCCCAACGTGTTTAACCCTTATTTTTTTATTTTACCCTATTAATTTAACCCCTAAAACCCTCACATTCATAATTGACCAAATAAAACAAATCATTGAGCAATACTCTTTTTTTATGCAAAATGTCTGAATTCCAGATGCTTATTAACAAAAAGTTGTTGAGAAGTGCAATTGTGATATATTTGCCACTTGTGAAATCTGACCCCTGTTTATATTGTCACCAAATTTTCATGGCCCAAATCATGGCCAATGTCTTCAGATAAAATATTTACAGGAAGGGTTATATTTGGGATGTGGCAGATATTGAACTTTCTGTTGAAAGAGAAAGGGCTGAGAAAACAACACTGTACATGTGAATATTTGCAGGACAACTGAATCATCATCACATGCAGTCCATCCGTCTCACAAAAAAAAGTTCAATACCGTAAAACCTCGAATTAGCACCCCCCTCAAATAAGTGCCTCCTTCGAATAAGCGCCCCCCTCCCCTTCCCCCATTTTGTGGACAAGTAATGAGACAACAGAGGATGTATGGTTTTTGTTGTATGGTATCAGATTTGTGCATTGTTTCAGTTTGTGAACACGTTAAGTTTGGAAAAAAATTACAAGTACTAACTGTACTGCGATTAAAAATTTAGGATAGCCTTTTTATGTTGATAAACAGCTTATGTTGTTGTTTACGCACAGATGACGTATTAAAAAAATGATCATGTCAGGCCACGATTTGGAAGAAATTAAATGAAACTAAGGGGATAGTGCCAAAGAAATAGGCACGCAATACATGCAAACAATGAGCTGCTTGCTGTAGTACAGGATTGGTTTGTTTGGACAATCTGTCGATTTTTTTGATAGAAAAGATCAAAGAATTAGAAAAAATGAATAATTGTTGTGCCACAAAATTACTCGTAACCCACACAGTGCAAGATAAGACACAATCAGGAAGGCTATTACCTACAGTTAGGTAACACCCCCCATTGCCTTTCGTTTTACTCATGGACAAAATGTCATTGGAACAGTCCACCCAACTCCTTTTTAACTGGAAGTTGGAAACTTCTGGATACCTCCAAACAATCTGTATCTTTGGTTAATTATGCTCCCATCAGTTACAAGTAATCCTCAAGTGTGATGGAAAGGTTTTACATCAGATCATTGAAAACCACTGGCAAAAAGTAGGTAATTCACTTGCCATCAGAAGTTATTTTCTTCATAAGTTACACCAATATGCAATCTGTTATTCAACTAACAGCGTGCACAAAAAGTCATTGGCTCTTAATTGTAGGTTCGATTGCAGCCAGACCTGAGAGAGCAGCAGAAATTAAGCCTACTGCATGTCATTTTCAAGCAGAAGTATAGCAGCTCTTGCAAGTGCATAATTCTTTTTTGTTAGCAGCTGTTATTGTTTTGGGGTTTGAGACATTGTTTCTGTTGTTTGTTCTATTGTCTTCTCATAGGGTATCGAGCCATTCAAGTGAGACCTTATGAGAGCTGCTGGATCATGTGTACCAAAGGCATCCACGGTCAAGCGTTGATCAATACCCTTGATTGAGCCATGATCAACACTCAATCAACACTTGATAGACTGTCAATTGATAGTTGGCAGTGTCAACCAACTCATATGTATCAATTGACACTCAATGGGGTGTCTGCAAAAATGAGTCAACTGTCGACCGACTGTCAGTTGAGGTGTCAATCAAGTGTTGATCAAGTATTAATGGAGATGCCGATCAAGTGTTAATCGAGATGTCGATCAAGTGTGGATCGAGGGTATCTTTCCACACTTTACCACGGATGTCTTTAGTACACATGATCCAAGCTGCTTTTAATAACCCAACTTTTTTCAAGATTGCACATTTGGCCCAGCATAGTGATATCATCATTAAGAAGAAAAAGTGAATAATAATTAATATATTAAGATATTATAACAGCTTAAATCCAGGCATTTTATTGTGAAATAGCAACACAAAATGCTCTTTGGAATACAATTCATTCAATAAAAACAATCATGCACTAATGGCCGCAACATGTCACGCAACAGTTATTATATACACACACCTAACAGTGTTACTGCTTTACTCTCACAATTTCTCTGCAGGGTAGGTGCCTTGTAACCTGCAATCAAGGGTACATATTTTTTTGTGGCAGTAAGAAAGAGAAAATTCCTTATTTTTCCTCTTTCCCGCAGATGCAAACAAAGCCTGATCACAAGTTAGTGAAGTTACTGGTTTTGAAGACTTCTCTGAAGTCATCCTTTGACACTATGAAACTACTAGTCTAGTAAACAGAATATGAAATTTTAGAAAGAGGGACTTAACATGTAAGATAACATGACAGTTTTGTAGGCCTATGTACAAAGCCTATTAACAGATACATCCATATTTAAAACTGCCCCTTAGTTTACATATCTCAAGGCAGTGCTTGCCTCTAAATGGTGCGTGCTATAATGCTTAGCTCATTGCATCATTTTGGCTCGCCATGAAACTGAACATCTTCTGAATATTGTACATGTAA